TTGAAGCAACTGCCATGTGATTGGTTGATTAGATAATTGCATTAATGAGAAATTGAACAGGTGTTCCTAATAATCCTTTAGGTGAGTGTATGATTCAGAATGTAATACTTAATGATTTGTTGATACCGGCTGAAAAACACCAACGTGAATAAGGGGAGTACTGGCACTATTTTTCCTATGTCACATTTACATACATATTTTAATAAATAAATAGGCTTTCAAAACAGGCCCCTCACAAAACAAAAACATTAGTAGATATTGCTGTTGTTCTCAGCATAAATTTGTTGACTGAAAGGGTGAATCATTCGCCAAGCTATTAATTTATAACACATAATAATCATATACTTTAAAAATGTAATATCTGTATAATAATATATATTATACATGTGTACTGTTACATGCGTGTATATTTTGCATTTTTATACTTATTACTGTCTCTTTATGTCTGCATACTTAACTGTACTTGTGTTCTTGTGAATCTATTTCATGTCATCTTCCATTGCCGAAGAACAGTTCCAATACTTAGAACACAAGTTCAGAGGACGGTAAAAATCCCCTGATGTTGGTCTTGCTCCACCCCAAATATCAAAGATACATCAGTTGCATCCTCACTGAATGAGACCAATCCCATGATACATTGCACCCCAAGTTTGTTCTTTGAAGGCAAGTTAGCAAGACCAGTCTTGCCAAGACCACAAGTATGGTCTTTGCGTTCTTAGTATTGAGATTCACCTCTTGACTCACAAAGTGCCGCTTCTACCACCTAACTGGAAAATACCCACTTTGCACAATGAATCTTGGGATATGCTGGGTTGCGAAGGATCCATTGGGTGAATGCTTTGCGACTCAGTTAAAAGACAGATATCTAGATCGGATTTGAAGAAGCCTTTGAAATGGGACAGCTTTGTCGCACTGCTGTGACACATTTGGACTTCAAATATAGCCTTTGAAGGACACAACATCTGAAGTTGGACTCAGCCGTTGGCAAACTCCATACACACAAAGCGGTGATGGGTAGCGTCAGGGCTACCTGATGCACCATTGTGCCACCCTAACAGGTTTGTATGATGTGCAATGTTAATATCAACATCACTTTTCATGGACATGCAGTTGTCACGTCACAAGGACCACAATAGTCTGCAGGGTTCAAACCATTAATATATTGTACTAAAACATTTTTGGTCAGTCAAAGAAAAGAAAATGTAGAAAGCTTTGAAATTCTAATGACAGATCCTTTTCAAAATTATCCAGTATATGTTTTTAAAAAATGAGCTCTGCTTGAGCTTTCTGAGACAATCATAATCATTCTCGTCTTTGCTGTTTGACTTGGGCACAGACCATGTGGCACATTTGTGAGAAATTAAGGATTAGTGAAGAGAAGAAAATCGAACAAGAACTGGTCACAAAATGACATTTGTCTTCCACTATATGGAATATTTTGTATTTCACAGAGATAATACTGAGCAAAAGCAAGTGATTTGTCGGCACTGCTTTGCGTCTGTTGGCACAACTAACAGCAATACCACCAACTTATTTGACAGACTTTGATGGCAGATAAGTTCTATTTGGCTACATAGTTCATTTTTAATTCTTAAATGTCACATAAAAATCAAATATCCTTCAGCCCTACTCAAAACACAGAACATGTTCACAAAAAATAATTAATATAACGGGATTAATATTTATCGTATTATTTAAGATGATGACAGGACTAACTTTTGTTTTAGCAGCAATTATTAATATTTTGGGACAGAGTCATAGAAAGTAAATTAAGCAAACTGATGACAATGATGGGCTTTGAGAGGCTAAATTGCACATATCTATGGCTACTCTTGCATTACTGGGTAAGTATGCAAAACCTGAATGTCTTCTTTTGAGATGTACAGTGGTGCCTCGGAACTCGAACTTAATCCGTTCAGAACTACGGATCGAATCCTAAAAAGTTCAAGATCTGATTGAATTTTTTTTTAGCATTTAAACACAAAATGAACCGGATAAAACAAGAAGAGCATATACTGTGCTAAACACATCTAAGGACATTTATCAAAACAGTGATTTGTAAAGTAAGAAAATAAATATATCCGAACAATGTGTCCTGCCCCGATCGTCCACTCCTTCCGTGTGCCACGCCCCCTCGTTAACCCCGTGTGGAATCCCCATGTGATCAGCTGTTTCTGGTTGTTGTCATTAGTCCTTTGTATTTCGTCCGTGTTTCAGTTTGTTTCCCCAGTCCGGTCATTGTATTGCCCGTCTGCGTTTTGCCTGCCTTACCTGTAATTAAACCCCGTATTCCCCGATACCCTGATGTCTGCGCCTTTGTCTCCATTCCGTCCCCACTCGGCACAACAATATCATTATAATTAAACGTATTAATGGCGTATTATTAATATTAAAATAATGAATAAGAAATCTTTATTTTTAAATGTATTTTATTATATAATTACTGTTACTATCATTGTATTTTTACTGTATAAATATATGTATTCAGCTAGTTTAAACATGCACAATGCTATCACAGCGAATGTGAGGCTGAGACTGAAGCTTTACCCTTTGTTTCCGCTGACAAACATGCCTCGTGACTCATTTCCGCACACATACAAGTTATCTTAGGTCAGCATTCACGGTTTGACTTCTGAGATTCAGATCGAGCTCTAGGTAATTTTTTTTCGAACTGGTTGGTTCGACTTTTAAGAAATTCGAGTTCTAATGAGTTTGAGAACTGAGGTACCACTGTATTTGCATTACAGTCGTGCTGTGACGATATTTAAGTTCTGATTTGCAATACTTACAGATGACTGCATTTATATACCCTTTTAAAGTGCAGTACTTCCACACACACTTTCTCTCTTTATTTTCACCTTCATCTCCTTTCTGCCATATTGCCGAGTAAACGATTAGGAAAATTTTAATCTATACTTTTTAGTAAGCAAGTTTAATTGAGTAATCGTGAAAGCTCTTATTAAAATGTCATTTATATTGTTTATATTTTTAAGGGTCTAAATATTTCTATTCTATTTATCTTGCACTACGACCGACATCTTTCATGAAGTAAGAACTTTAAAGGACTTTAAAGGACACACTAAAGCTGGCAGTGTACTTCAGATAAAATCAACAGAATCAACATCACATTGGCAATAGGATGTTGTATGACGCGTAGTCACTGTGGTCAGCCATTTCGGTGCACTGCCTGTGCAAGGCCTTGAGACAAACTTTTTCGTCATTTTTTATCCCACCCACTGTCCACAATTGATTTACATAAATGTGATGCCGCAGGGTTGGACAGCAGGACTAATTATGCACTTATCAGCATGATTTGCACTGCACCGCTCGTTAAATAATGTAAATTAATATGTTTATTTGTGTCGGTGCTGCTGCTAGTATTAAACCAGCAGGGACTGTTAATAAAGAAAGCATCTTTCATTTTAAAACAGCTGTCATCTTTATTAAAAACACTCACACACTAGCCATTGTATGTTTATTTGCATTCTGTATGTGGGTCTGCTGCACTGAAAACATTCTGCGCTCTCTTGGGTTTTGGAGTGACATAGAACAAACAAGGTGGCAGCGTCGTTTTAAGTATGCGAAAGATTGTTCTTGCTGACGACTTCGATTTTGTGTCTGTAAATTTAATCAGTTCTGGTTTGTCACCTACACAATGCCTCTGAAAAGTTTGAAAAAGATCTATGAAACAGTTTTTGACTTATTGGCTTAACAAGCAAAATATTTGCGGCAGCAAAATGATCCTCAGCTGGTGATTCGACTGGTGTTTGTTACTCAAAAATAAATAAATAAATTTACAAATAAGGAAACAGAATATATAATGACAATTTGTTTCCTGTACGCTGACCATGAAATGATGTTTTATTTGTACCGGTACACTGGAATGCTTTAGTTTTTACACATACAGGTGAGAGTAAAGCTTGGGGATCCAGGCGCAGGGTCAGGAATATATCCAGCACCCATTTCTCAGGGAATTAATGACCTTTCTGAAGGGCCTAAAGGTGATGTTACAGTTCTGCCAAGCATGGGATTGGAACCGACAACCTTCCGATCATAGGCACAGAAGCCTAAACAACTGAGCCGCACACCACACCAGTACAATTTCATTAATATAATGCATTAATAAAATAAATGTGTTATGCATTGATTTTTCCTGTCTTCGCCCAGTCTTGAATACATTCTTACTCAAATCACAAGTTTCCCTCATCATGTGGAGGTTGTGTCACCTCCAGTGTCCCTGCTGCTAGTTATCTATGTCCTTTCACTGTATGGGTGTCGGCTTCCACTCAGTGATGTAACAAACTACCCAGAGCTAAGAATACCCAGTTCAGAGTAGAAATTGCTGTGCAATGATGACAGGAAAAGGAAATCAGCTGTCTAATAAGCCTAAAGAATGAATCCAATAATATAAAATCTTAAGGCAAATAGACAAGGTGAACTTGGCTGCCTACTTCTAACTGTTTTTGCAACTTTTAAGGAATGCAAATCTGTTACTCATTTGAAGGCTCTGGATTGGGAAGAAGTCACAATTTTATGCTCATTAGAACAGGTGGACGGTGCTTCTTAATTTTCTTCCAGAAAACCTAGCTTCATATAAATGGTGGTCTTTATTTTCTAAAGGAAGATGTAAATCTGGTGAAAAAACTTATGGACCTATGCCGTTCATTTATTACTCATGGGAATCAAAGCATTCTTAAACCCCCGTTAATTATAAGTAGTTGCAGTTCAGAGTACTGAATGAAATACCTGATCATTTCCAATTTTGGACCTTGGCCAGGGTACATCAAAGAGGGCATGCAGAGTGTGTAAACAGTAAGTAATATTCTCCATTTGGGAGTCAGAATGAGGTGAGCACAGAAACTCCATGCTGATTCCTAGGAAGAGACATAAAATAGCCAGTCAGCAGAGACATATTAAACCTCACAAATAAAAAAAGGTTTGACAGACCATTTTCAACAACTGCCAGGATGACAAATAGGACCACCCATTTTCTGTACTTGCTTGTACTATTCAGGGTTGTGGGGGGTGCAAGGCAGGGAACAACCCAGGATGGGTTGTCAACCCATCTCAGGGCACACTCACACACGCACAACTATGGGCAATTTGGTAACTCCAATCAGCCTCAGCATGTTTTTAAACTATGGGGGCAAACTGGAGTGCCCAAAACAAAACCCACAACAACCCGGGGAGAACATGGAGCCCACTCATGGAACACTCATGGAGCCATGGCAGAGACTGAACCCCAGACACAGAGGTTTGAGGTAACAGTGCTAACCACTGGACCACTGTACCACCCCAGAGAAATAGATTTAGTGGGGGAAAATGCCAAAGGAGGAGAGCTCTGACCCAGGATCAGGTAGAAGCGCTCAGCATTGATGTCTTCGGGAGACTTGATACTAGCCAGTGAGGTGGACTGGCCCATTGAAGTTGGGGTGACAGGTCTGGACAGGTTTGCGGGGTCCTCATCCAGCACAATGAAGCCCATGCTGTTCAGCCAGAGTGCCGTGGCATGGAGAATGGCTGCCCAGGAGCTGCAGTAATGCTGCCTGGCCTGCTCGGCCGTCTCCGCCGTGTAAAACGTACCTCCTGAAAAACAGAGGTGAGACATGACCTGTACCTAAAGGCCACTGACCTGAGGCACTGGCTTCACCCCGAAGAGGGTTCTGACCTGTGGCCGGGAGCTGCACTGCATACTCATGGGGCAGGTTCAGTATGGCATGGTCCTGCAGGGCAGCGAGCCATAGCCGGCTTAGCATGCTCAGGTTGGCCTGCACCAGCCTCAGCAGCCCAGTCCCTGCTGGGGCCACTGGTGGCTCAGCACTGGGGTCAGAAAGTTGCAGAAGCCGAGCTGGCTTCTCATCCTGATTAGGACTCTGAACTGCTACTATATACACCTGAAAAAGCGAAGCCAGGGATAATAGTGAAAGAGTGAAATAGAGAGTCAGTGATAATATGCCACGACATTGAAGAAAGCCTTTAATTATTTACAAAAATTAAATTTGTCCCATCAATCTCCAAAAATTAAAAGAATTTCATTCCACATCACTGCAGAATAGTATCAGCCCTCTGCTAAAAATAGTTTATAGCTTAAACTTTTTGCTAATCATAAAACTATTTAACAAGGACACCTAGGAAAAATCATGTCCTATACAGCTGGAGACAACATCCTGAAATATTTATTCAGTGCTAGGTAACTCAGATTGGCTTGTATTGATTTTCTGCATCACATTCTTTCCTGGACCTTGGCCATGCAGAACTATAAACTGAGCCAAGTGAATGACGCACTCATAAATCGTCTGCATTCCGGGGTGTGCTTTTTCTTACGCAAATGACTCATAAGTTGTTTTTAATTTGGCTCATTCTTAGGAATTCAGGGCTCCCTGCCAAGCCAGTGACTCGCTAGCCAGAAACCTGCACTGCTGTCCATCATAACGATATACAAAACACAATCAGTAATGTCATGGAAAATAGCATGCTAAAGCAATAATTTCACACCAATTCTTGAATGCAGGTACTCCCATATAACAAAAACCGCATTGAGCGGGGGAAAAGCAGCATTCATCAGAAATTGAATGAGGGGCCCCTGCTGCAGTCGTAACCTTAAACATTTAGCTAAAATTAATGTCCAGGTCCTGATCAACTCCATCAGAATAAATCTTGTGGAAATTCATTTTGCACTCGCCTTAAAAGATGCACTTTAAGATATGCAAAATGTACAGATTACATGTTCAGTAATGCACCATAACTTTATTGTCCTATAATAATTTTTTTTTAAACCTGTAAATTGTATATATCTAATATATACGTCTGCATGTGTGCGCGCACGCAAGCACACACGCACACACACACACACACACACAGAGCTGTATTCATTCATTTGTCCATTCATTTCTATGGGCAAAACCCTAATCCCAACAAAGACAACCTTAACTCCTACCCAGCCCTAACCGTAACCATAAGTGATCAAACAAAATACAAGTCTTTTAGCATTTTTAGTTTTTTGATTGCAGTCACATATTTTTTATAAAATTAAATTTCCCTTTGTGGGGACTGTAAAAATGGTCCCTGCAATGTGATAAAAAACCTGACATTGTGGGGACCATTTTTACAGTCCCCACAAAGGGAAATTTAATTTTATAAAAAAAAATATGAAAAATGTCTCTACAATGTGATGTATACCTCTACAATGTGACGTAAGACATACAGCAAGTCCATAGCCAGAACTAGATTTCATAGGCCATAGGTCCCCCTTGACTGAGCAGGGGGGGATTGAAAAGTTAATTTCAAGCTGTTTGGGGGTTCTCACTGCACTGATATGGATGACTGAATATGCTCAAGGTTGTAATAAATTGTCACTGATGGCTTAACTGGTGGTTTAGGGACTAAACTGTGAACATAAAAAGTTATTGTAAGTTTCTTTATAAAGTGAACGTGGCAGCCAGGAACAGAGATGAGTGTATTATGAAGAGCCCCACACCTCTGCCCAGGCTTTCAGCACTGCCAGAGACTCCATGGTGACAGTGCTCTCATTGTACAGCTGGCTCTGCACTTCCTTTATTGCCTGTACTTTGCCCAGCGATGAGGTGAGCAGGTTGTGTACCCGCCGCAAGTCTAATAAATCGCTGACCACACCACTGGCAATCCATGCGCTGCATACCTATAGAAACGACAGCAGCACTGTCATTGAATTCATGACTGATCCAGTTTGAGAAACGAATCTACAGCATATCAGCACTCACCAACCTGACAAGCCTTGGCAGTGACATCAGGGGGGGTGTCGGCTGTAAAGGCTGGTCTCAGTGCTGCACCGACCTGCAAGCAGACACACAAGGTCACACTAAAAATAAAGGTGACACTAAAAATGAAGACCTTTAAAAAGACTTAAACTTACTAAATATAATCACAGACAGAGAAGGATGCTGGCTGCTGACATCTGAAAACCTGAGAATATTATACAAGATGAGAAAGAGGGCAGGGAAGTAAAGGGAAACTACATGCTTACATTAGCCTGGTACTGCTCCAGGAGGACATGACCCGGAAACTCAGGCTCGGGGAGAGCAGCAAACTTGCGGATGATGATGAGGAGCATCTGCAGGCCTGAGATCCGGAGTGGCTTGCTGGGGTCAGTGGCAGCCATAAAGGCCATTCGTATCAAGTCGGCAAGGTACAGGACTAGAAAGTCTCCTGGGAAGAACAGCACAGAGAGTAGCTTAATATTTCACTATTCAAACAATTGAACTTATTTCCCCTGGAAGAAAATACAACTGAATTCGGCAACATGTAGTGCAGTGTCTTTCAACCTTGGGGTCCACTGAAATGTCTAGTAATTGATAAAAAAATTACTGCTAAAAAATATTTTTTCAACTAATTATTATTCTTTAAAAAATTATGATTAAAATACCATATACAATCCTGTATTGTTTCACATTCATAAATATCAATAAATATTAGACATGCACCGATCAGATATTCGGATAGGTATCGGCGCCGATTCAGACCTATTTGACGGATCGGGTATCGGCCATGCGTGCCCGATCCACGTCCTATATTTACTTATTTAGTTTTTGGCAATCTCTAAATCCTAAAATCTCCTATTTCGTCTTAAATCTATTTGTACAATCAATCGCAAGACAGCTCTTTCCCATTTTACATGTTTTTTTTTTTTTTGCGGAATTCAAATCGAACACAGTCTTTTTTGCTGCTCAGTGGGTGCGAGTACCGTGACTTCCGCCTGCTGTGACGTCATGTGCATACCTTTCGCAGTACGAGGAGGGTAAGATAAGACGTGCCGATTTGGGAGTATTTCACGCTTTCAACAGAAACCAGTAGCACAGCGATTTGCAATCTTTGTAAAATAAAGTTTTGAGAGGTGGGAATAGCGTTTAATGGACAATCCCACTTAACAAAGTGCACGCAACTGCGAGACAAAAAAAGCAATGGATGATTCGGGAGTCGCTAACCTTGACTGTCTTGCGAACTCGCTGCAGCTTGTGATACAAGAGGGGCTGCCATCGCAACGAAGTGTAACTGAACTGACGCCAATGGGAGAAAAATTGTGTTAAAATTTAAGTTTTCGCCACTTGTGTGTATACTTGTTTTGAAGATCGGAATGTGTATAGGAATCGGATCGGAAATGAAAAAATGTGGATCGGCCCATCCCTGATACTGTATATATAAACAAGTTCAAATAAAATGATCGCGATCACCTTCAGCCTTGTAAAGACGAGCTCGCCTAACTGTGCATGTGATCAAGGAAAATAAAATGTGACTTTGTGCACTAGTCTGGCTACTCTGTATTTGCAACACGGTATAACAAATATGATCAAAAACTAATTCTAGAGGGAAAAAAGTCTATGGGGTCGCCAGAAATTTGTGATGTCAAAATAGGCTCTCAGGCCAAAAAAGGTTGGGAACCACTGATGTAGTGTAAAGGGTGGGCAATACAGCCAAATTGTCATATCATGATTTTTCTGGTAAGAATTGTGATCCACAATATATATTGCGATTGTTTTGTTTGTTTACAAACCAACTGAAGCAGAATGTATTGTGACGCCATGGGGATGACTAGTAAAGACTTTTGTGTTTGGCATACTGGTATGCTTCACAGTGCAGGGTTCCCACGCGTCCTGGAAAACCTGAAAATTTTGAGGGCTATTTTCCAGTCATTGAAATGACCTGGAAACTGATAGAAATGGCCATATGTGCTGGAAATAATCTTTCTTGTCCTGGAATTTTATTTCTGTTTTCGCTTTTTAATTTTTCTGTTTGAAACAGCTCGCTGTTTGTAAGTCTAGATATGATGACAGCTGAGCTAGGCCGTGGCCTCTGCTGCGCAATGTCTCTACCTACTGAGACATGTATAGGCAATTATATTTGAGTTTTGACCCTCGTTGCTCTAGCTTGTCAGTAGCTGACAGGAGAACAAGAGAACATCAGTTCATCACTTGAAATTTCTGCTGAGTGCATGACTGTAAGTATGACCACAGTGCATATGGTGCAACTGACAGTTTTGTATACTTCATACCGTCTGATGTGGACCCAGGTCGCATGTTAAACGTCAAGTAAATTGGCGATGCTAATTTCTGTTAGCCTGTTAATGGCAATTTTCATTAGGTGTTTGCATAGTGCTAGTTGTCTAATGACGGTAATCGATCTAAAATCATTTTGTAGGCCTATGTGGTCCCACTATTAAGCAAATAAATTCAGTGAACCAAACCTAAAATAGCAAGAACATGATAACAGTCTTAAAAAGAATTAGACTAAGAGCTTCTGCTTTCATTTAAAACAAATGGGGCTTAGGCTACTTGAAGCCTACATCTAAATGCCTGTGCTTGTGTGTTTGTGTAGGTTTTTGTGATATCCTTGCAACCGAGCAATCACCACACAATAAATATTACTTGGCTTGTGCCGTTTATTTGCACAACTGAGCACACTTCTCATTATTTAGATAAAATCTAATGCCTATAGTAAAAGTGTTGCTAAAAAAAAGAAAGAGGTCATCGGTCTGGATGCAGTATTATCAGACCTCAAGGAGCGTCTTCTGAGGTGTTGGTAGAGCAACACCACTAGTGTTTCTAAACCGAAGCCTACACCAGATGCCTTTTTCATAGGTTACACTACAGTGACTTATAGATTGTTTGTTTGTTTCCAATATACTGGAGTTCAGGCTGTTATCCTTTGTTCCTAGTATTCTTTCTAGTTTAACCAAGTTTTTAACTCAGGAATTGATGGCAAGGCTATCATGATTTAAAATGGATGTATTTAGCTTCTTTTCCCACAAAGATAAGTTCTTTATTATAATCCTTGTCATTGACTTATGCAAATTCTACAGCTGCTGTATTCCCAGTAAAGCTACCAGTTGAAAGTTAACTCTGACTTTCTGTTTTGTCACGCGCCAGTTGTTGCATATATTAGTGTTATAGGCATAATACACGATATAGGCAATAAATTGGCTTTATGCAGTTTTGTTTGATACAAACATTGTACATAAATGTATTTGATACAATGACATAAAATGTAATATGCATTATGCAAGTAACTACTGAAATTAGGTCACTATGTTAGCCTATTTCATGACCACATCCAGTGCACGTCTTTAGCTACCTACGGCTGCCAGGCTCCTGCTAGTCTTATGCCTATCAATAATGAGACCTTTGAATCTTTCATTCCTATAAAAAACTCAGGACTCTTGAGCTTAATTTCCTCCTGTAAATCCTCTACTAGCCTCGTAGACCCAATTCCTACAAAATTCTTCAAGGAAATCGCACCACAGATTAGCAATATCCTGTTAAATGTGTTAAACTCATCTCTTAAGCTTGGATATGTTCCAAAACCTTTTAAAATGGCTGTTATTAGACCCGTCCTAAAGAAACCAAATCTTGAACCTAGTGTTTTAGGAAACTATAGACCTATCTCAAATCTTCCTTTCATTTCAAAGATCATGGAAAAGGTTGTAGTTCATCAGTTGTCTTCTTTCCTACAAAAAAATAATACTAATGAATTATATCAGTCTGGCTTTAGACCAAACCATAGCACAGAAACTGCTCTAGTCAAAGTAATGAATGATTTACTAAAGGCTTCTGACCGTGGGTGTATATCGCTGTTGGTATTGCTAGATTTAATTGCAGCATTCGATACTGTGGACCATAATATCCTCTTGGACCGGTTAGAAGGTGTAGTTGGCATTACGGGGACAGCACTCTCTTGGTTCTACTTATATTTAACTGATCGCTATCAGTATGCTCATGTGAACAACAAATCATCCAAGGCCACCAAAGTCACATATGGTGTCCCACAGGGATCAGTACTGGGCCCACTACTGTTTACCCTATACACGCTACCTCTTGGTAACATTATTAGAAATCATGGTGTTGGGTTTCATTGTTATGCAGATGATACACAGTTATATATATCTGTTAACTCTGATGATACATCACTCCTATCTCGGTTAGAAGACTGACTGTTAGATATCCGGTGCTGGATGGCAAAAAATTTCCTAATGTTAAACACAGAAAAAACAGAAGTACTGGTAATTGGTCCCAAGGCTGCAAGAAATAAGTTTCACCACCTCAGCATTAGTGGCCTTCCTACACAACCTAACACGGTGGTTGGAAATCTTGGTCTTCTGGTTGATTCAGATCTATGTTTTGATGCTCACATAAAAAGTATTACTAGAACTGCGTTTTATCATCTACGGAACATAGCCAAGCTTCGTATGATGCTCTCACTTCGTGATGCAGAAAAATTAATACATGCCTTTGTAACTTCCAGATTGGACTACTGTAATGCCCTCCTTTCTGGTTGCCCGTCTGGATCCTTACATGAACTTCAGCTGGTACAGAATGCAGCAGCCAGAGTTCTCACAAACACTAAACAATTTGATCACATTACACCGGTCTTATCCTCCCTTCATTGGTTACCAGTTAAGTCTCGGATTGACTATAAAATACTGCTATTAACCTATAAAGCACTGAATGGCCTTGCACCAGAATACCTTAGTGATCTGCTGACCTCATACAACCCCCGTGCTTGCTTCGTTCTCAAGGCACGGGATATCTGTTAGTACCTAGGGTAGAAAGAGCTACGGCAGGCTGCAGAGCTTTCTCCTATAGAGCTCCTCAGCTGTGAAATGGTCTTCCACCGGATGTGCGGGTTTCAGGCTCACTCTCAATATTCAAGTCTAGACTAAAAACACAGCTGTTTAGTTTAGATTATAGGGATACTAGTTCTAGCTCTAGCTAACTCCTCACTCCCAGTTAGACCTATAGTGTGAGGTGTAGAGCTGGGTGGGGATCGGTGCCTTTGGCTTTGGATAAACTGAATTGACAGTGCTGTCGCTCTAGCTTCACAATGGCTTGTGGGATTGGAGTGCTGACATTTCAGGGACTCCCCATGCCTGCATTCCCACTTGCCTGTCCCTCCTACTTATGCTGCCATAGCCATATCTGCCGAAGTTTGCACGTTGCACTTCATATTGCACTCATCTAACTTTTAGCACTGCCTATAGTTTCCCCTAATTTGACTAATTGCATATTTTATTTCCCCTACTCCTCCTGGGGGGTGCTGCCTGGAGACCTCAATCTATCAAGATGTCCAGCACACCCTGCAACATATGTGACGTCACCACTACCAATGACGTCCGTGCATCCAGCTCACCGTTCTGCCTGTGTCATCTTCCATGTATG